TCACCACATTTCTGGCCTTGCCATCTATTTGAACCAACCACCCACAATTCATTTCAATTATTCTCTACGCTTCTCGCTATGCTTCCTCACTTCATCAAAAAGCATGGCATACCTCCTCTTTCAAAGGAAGGTTTCTTCTAATAACAAGCATTAAATCACCTAGAAAAGAGGACTTGTTTGCATTAAGCTAATACTGTTTTATATGTTCTCTCCAATGAACAAAATAACCATTTTAGCATGATTAAAAAAACCTCTTATTTCAAAAGATGACTCCTAAAATTCTAGCTATTACAAGGCCCGTAGTGTATGCAAACACACAAGCGCAGAAAATATTTGCAAGACCTTACAAATGCACAGTCAAACCTTGAGTTTGTAAGCCTGTGGGGGGGAAAAAAAGGGGACTGAAGTGTTCTTCCACTGCAGAACACTAAAAACATTACTATCATTATTTTAAACAAAGGAAGTTAATTCAGCATCAATTTATTCAAGCAAGGTGAAGTTAACCCCTCATGAGCTAATCCCTATGTAATTGCCTAACGTTTTACAGTTACCTTTTTAAGTTCTTGCTTTTCAGAGTTGTCTTCTTCAAGCAGGTTTTCTACAACATCCTGCTGCAGCACAGTCTCCTCTTGCAAAGCCTGTTCTTCTTCAGCTTGCACAGTAGCAACCAAAACATCTGGCTGCTCAGAATTAACAGGGGTTGCACTTCTTCCACTTTCTTCCATCTCAGCTTCTTCAGCATGTAAAACAGGCATGTCATTCAATTCTTCGCATTTACTTTTTACAGGATCAATCATTTCTGTCTTTGGCGCAGGAGGAATGACAGTGACAGATGCTGAAGCACAAGCCTTGCCTGATAATTCATCATCTGAATTTATTTCACTTACACTTCTGCTATCTAAAGATTGTACACTAAATGAATCAATTCTTTCAAAAGCATCAGAGGAGCCACAGCTTTCAGTCAGTTTTTGAAAGTCATCCAAACGGTTATAATCGGCACAGGCAGATGTAGATAAAAGCTGAAATGATGTCTGCATTAGATGAAGACTGGATTTTGAATCTGCAGTTTCTTGTCTTGAACTTGCTGAGCTCTCACTTATTACACTTTCATGGTCCAGAACTTCAATATCGCTAGTTGTGGATGTCCCTGAGGAGAAGGTGCTGATTGGAGGTGAAGGTGTATTGCTTTGCCTGTCCTCAGTTTTTTGTTCCTTTGTTTCCAAGCCCATGTCTTTTGTACCGGTATTAAGGGATGGTGAAGTGCTATCCAGCGCACCTCCTGCTCCATGACTTCCAGCACTGGATTTCTCACCAACAGCCTCTTCTGGTACTTTCAGATTTAGAGCAGATACCTTTTTATCAGTAACTTCATTTGTGCTTGCTTCATGTTTGGCATTAGACTTTAGCACAGAATTTTCTTCTGATTTCTCCTCGGGAATCTCAAAGTTTTTCAAGTCCACTAGGTCAGCTACAGAGGAATCTTTCACACCTGCCTCTGTTGTCACTGGTGCTTCCAGCTGACTGGCGTGTATAGACTCCTTTGAAGTGCTTTTCACTTCCTCTTTGGGTCGCTGGGATTTGGCTGGAGGTTTGGACACCACTGGATTTTTCTGTATACTCTGAACATCAGTTGGAGAGAGAAAGGCACTGAAGAAGTTTTCAGATTCATCTACTACAGTTCTTCTTACTGGCTTGGTGATTGCTGTTGGAGATATCGTCTGAGTCTGTGGCTCTGTATTGGAATTTAAACCCCAGGAAGACGTATCCCATCCTCCACTTATAAGAGAATTTGTTCCTAAAACAAGAGAGACATGCCAACAACACTTAAAATGTGTTATTTTCAATATTTGTCTTTTCAGATGCAGCATTTCAGAAGAAAAGTATTCAATACCACATAACTTAAGTAAATACTAGCACAATCAAGTAGTGCATCTGTTTTGTAACTATTTTGTTACAATGCTTGGAATGATCTTTAGACAAAGCAAAACAAGTTTCTTAAGAGACATGAAATAGTTCAGGCACAAGATGGACAAAAACAACTTCAGAAAACAGGAATATCTGAATGAAAACAATTTCCTTCTGGGTAAACACTAACTTATGCAGAGGCAAAAAGGAACCATAAACAAATTACACCAGAAATTCCAAGACTGACGATTGCAGAAAAAAGATGCACAGAAGTTTCCAGGAAGGTGAAATGAGCCAATGCACCATTTTGAAAGCCAGTTCTGACAAGAAGCCTATTCAGACACAAAAAAAGGAAACACATTTTGTTTGCCAAAGGAACACCAGGGAGGGAATGTGGAGTCCTGCTTCCTGTACTGATAGGAGGCCAGTCAAAACAATCTCACAAAATGATTGAGGTTGGAAGAGACCTCTAGTGATGATCTAGTTTGACCCCTCTGCTCAAGCAGGGACAAGTTCAGAAATAAAAAAAATATAAACATTAGAAAGGTAGGAAAGGCTTAAAAGTTATATGGCAGTACTGAACAGGGAAGAGAAAACAAACAGACAACCCCTATACACTATTACTGAACACAAAGAAAGAAAAAAAATAAAGAGAGAGAGAAAAGAAATCTTTAAATATTTGCAAAATTTGGACCATACTAAGACCCTTACAACTTCTGACAATCTTCCAAATGCCAACTGCAGTATCATTTTCCCCAGGCCATAGAAGAAACAGTTCTACTGCTGTTCATGTTTTTCCTCAAACAGCAACAGGGTAAAAATTGACATTCTGAATTTTAATTTGCTGTCACGTCTGGTTTGCAGCAGCAAAACTAAGACGATAATGTCACTTCTCCCCTGTGGGAAAACACTGAACTGAGAAGCTCTGAAGCCACCCTAAAGCTCTGTTAACACTTAGTTACTGTTACATATTTCTTGCAAGCTTTCCAAAACATGTCAGCAGCACAAGGATAACAAGAATTACAGCATCAATTTCAGTCACTCCCTAACACTGTAGCCACAGAGTAAGAAAGATTAATCAGTCTGGTATTCAAAAATAACTGCCAATTTGATTTTGGCAAACATAACTATTTCAGGCTACTTAAAAACAAGATTATTTTACACAGTATCTGTTTGTTCATATTAACACATCACTACAAAATCCCTAAGTTATAACACAACAACTACCACTCTAAGAACGCATGAATACCTATCTGACTCAAAAACTGAAAAGGAGATCAGTACTACAGCAAATTTATTACAAAATTCTCCCTGATTCAATAGCTCAGAAAAAGATAACTTGAGGAAAGCAGATTATTTTACACAGTATCTGTTTGTTCATATTAACACATCACTACAAAATCCCTAAGTTATAACACAACAACTACCACTCTAAGAACGCATGAATACCTATCTGACTCAAAAACTGAAAAGGAGATCAGTACTACAGCAAATTTATTACAAAATTCTCCCTGATTCAATAGCTCAGAAAAAGATAACTTGAGGAAAGCGTAATACTCAGAAAATATTCTGGTTTCTTTTAAAGTAACCAAACCGTTTCCACCTGAGAAATAGAAGTGGTCTGGTCTTTGCCACGTTATTATGAATTCTACTGCAAGCACTCAGAGATACAAGCAAAACCTAAAAGTGATTTAGACAATTTTAAAATATTAGGAAACTAAAGGCTATATATCCTTCTATACAAGATTCCTGTAATTTAACAAGGTGCCAGACAACATAAGCGACCAAAGTCCCCTTGCTCTATTAAGTAAGGAAGACCCGCAACTGAGCCCACCCTTTTGCTAAGGAACTGACCTAGAAAACACTTTCCCTTGATGCAGGACTTGATTCTTGAGTCTCTGCTGGGACCTCCCGAAATGCTCCTCCTTTTGCTAATATACAAAGTTCTCTTGTCACTAAGGGCACTGACACCAGGTCACCTCATTTCTCTGCCTTTTCCTTGTCCATTCCTACCTTAAAGGCAGTTATTAATAACAGGAAAGCTCGTATTAAATTGCGGGGGGCGGACTTCTTTTTGCTAGATGATCTCAAAACAGCAATTCCGGCTTAACTTCTCTCCCAAGTTCCACGCTGACAAACCACCCACAGGGAGGAGATGCTTTTCCCCACTTACATCCTCCTTTTGGGTTAAAGGTCGACACCACAAGAAGCAGAAGCCTCTGGCTCAACCCACCTGGCAGCAAAAGGCTCCTTTGGGTGTTTCCCCCCCCCTTTTTCCCATTTTAATTAACTAGACGGCCTTATTTCCTCGCGGCCCAAGGCAGCTCCGAGGGGCGATAACCACCCCCAAATCACCACACGCAGAGGGCGGGAAGAGGGAGGGCAAGGCAGGCCGCGCCCGCTCCTACCGTCGCCGTAGTCGGGGATGACGGCGTCGGCCCAGGGCCCCTCCTCGGCCTGGATGTCGAGCCGCCCCGCTGCCGCCTCGGTAGCCGTCATGGCGGTAGGGCTCCCGTCTCGTTGTACGCCACGGTTTTCCCGTCACATTCGGAAACGACAAATTCGGTTCCCGTTTTTTAATGCTGCTTCAGCTGGCGGTTACAAAAGTGCCAATCCAAACACACAAGCATAGAGCCCCCAATAACTAAAAATCTTCATTTTAAGTCCCCTCACAGGAGAGTGTAGTATTTCCAACCCTTCTACACACTTGTGAATTCCCCACCAACATGCCACAAACTAAGCTATTTTTACGTTATTTTTATTATTATTATTTATTTATTAATAAATAGCTTAACAGCACCAATGATACCTGAACATAACCTGCAATTCTATGCATGGCTGTCGTTCGCAGTTTGCAAATATACATGAGTGGGTCTATAAATAATAAACCAGAATAAACCTTGTTTTTTTTTTTTTTTTGTATTTTCTTGTAAACAAAGCAATCTCTTCCCTATTTAACACCCTTTTAAAGACTGATCAAATAAAAGTAAACAGTGCTTAATCTACTGACCCTGTTTGGTTTTAAGGTGACTCTGTGAATGTACAGGAGTGCTAAAAAATCAAATCTAGATCACTGTGGTTCCTTTTAAAGGGTATCCTCTTTGCTTGCATGCATGTCTCCAAATTCAATACGAAAACAAGTCTTTTGGCCACCTTAAAATTTCCATGTGTGTGAATGTGTTAACATTTTGACAGCAAAAACTGGAAAAGTGTATTCCTATACACCAGAGTTCTGTACATTAATAAGCATTTATACAAATATAATCCACCAAATATTGGCTTCTACGTACAATTCTGAAATATGGTGATTCATCTGGATTATCTAACCTTCAACAATGCTAGTACTAAAATGGACATTTCAGGTTACTCTTAACACACACACTGTGCATTTGTTTTACAAGGTGGATAGAGATTTATCTGCATAAGTAGTATACTTATGTATGAATTAAGCAGTAAAGTGAAGTTTGAACAGCATAGTTTGTGGTGTAGTAACATCAGCAACCGCAAGTTCCTGGCCATCCACAAGCCCCAGTTCTGAAACAGAAATAAAAGTTCAACTACAGCAACCCATGATTAAAAGAAAAAATAAGCATATCAATCACTAATGATGTTATATGTCATATGTGTATGAACATCAATTATGTTTCATTATTAAAATCAATTACCAGACTGCTTTTTCATAAAGGTTTTCTTCACCAGAAGACATCACCCCACACTTCATATTTCAACAATTCAATGCTCATGCCCAAACAAACTAAGAAAGCTATATTGCATGATAAAATTTTTGCTACTGCAAAATTTTGAAAAGGTCATTCTGGCCTCTGAAGTTTGCTTTCCTGCCACAGAAATGAATGATATAAGAGATATTTGTCCTCCTCTTAAGTTTCTCTTTCAGAATAATTCTATTTTCAAACCTAGTTTGCAGAGGAATGGTGATCAGTGACATCACATAAATAATTATTTTTCCCCACATACCTCAATAGCTAAATATGTACTGCATTTTTTTTCATTTATACACTATTTTACTCTTCTATAGGGGCAAAATAAAGCTAAATATGACATAAAGAGGCAAAAACTGAAAAAACAGATCTTTCTGTTTAGCGGAGGACATTGAAAACCTGCATGTGACAAGTGGATGATACCTTTCAGTGTCTTGGAAAGATTCGGCCTTGTTCGTTCTTCAATTGAAGCTACAGTCTAGAGCAAAAAGAAAACAGAGCATTCCATTTCAAATCACGTCAGGAAACTTTTTTTTTTTTTTAATAAGAGTATTAAACAAAATTAAGCAAGTTCAGAGTACCTGTAGGTAAAGTGTTTTATTCCCCCCATACATAGTTGCTGTGATTGCTGGAGATTTCATTTGCCTATATTTAAAACACATTAAAAAAAAAGATATAAATCAATTTAGAAACATCTTTTTTGAGACACTAAACTAATAAAAACATCAAGTAATTCAGAATAGTTCACACTTACAATGAAGCATTATTTGTCAAGTAATCCAAGATCTCCTGCAATTTAGCTGATGGGGAAATTTCTATGTTTTGGGGAAGCTGGCTGCAGGCTGGACAGTTCTCCTACAAAAAAGCAGCACAGTAGTGAAGGTTATGTAAAGTATGCTTTTTAAACTGCTAATAAAGTTCTTGCAAGTATTTGCCTTTAAAAAAAATCTGCAGAACGGTTAAAACTGCTGCAAAAATTTTATGGACAATTGCAGTTCCCAGTGAAGTTGTTCATTCTTTGACTAACTGGCTGCCAGTATCAGCTCTGTATTTATGAACTACAGATTTCACTTGCACTCAGAGAAGAGTACTGCAAAATTGGAAACCATTGTCATCACAACCTCTTTCTGCTTCTGCATTTTATTCTGTAAAATGCATTTCCTTATGTTACAGGTAAATCTTTTTGATTCCCTTTCCCCAAAATTGAGTATCCTTTCCCTCCATATCTAGCCCAAGAAAAGGAACAATGTTTAAATATCAGTGTTCTGGAAGCAGTCAGTCAGCACTAGCTGTCTCAAAAACCTCCCCACATCAAGAGCTACTTTCTAAATACAAGAAACGGGTTCCACACACAAAACATTACAGACGCCCTTAAGCATTCTATATAATTTGGGGGGAGAGGGCGGGGCAAAACTGATGGTCAAAAGAATAGATTTTAGCACAGTCTCAAGGGCATCAAAAGCTTTCCTTAAATAAGATATCTTGATCTGGAGGTTTATCTTGTCCAGTTATGACGAGTCCTGGATAGGCCCTCACCGTCATCACTGTTAGACCTCATCCACACAAGTTCAAAGGAGTAGCTTGACAACTTTCTGCTTTTAAAATTTAAGAAGTATTTAAACACAGTGCCAGAAAGGTTGGATTCTGGGTTTCAGAAATACGCAGAAACTGCAGTAAGTACATTCAACATCAAGAAAACCAACCCTGCAAAACTTAAGTGGTACCAACCTTTCGTTCAGCTTCAAATGTGTATGTGTATAATCCATCCACATCATTGAACACCAAGTAGTTGTTAAGAGGAATGTATGCACTGTAAGGACAAACACATTAGTGCCAATACAACTCATTGTGTTGGAAATCATGTGTTTTATTGATAAGAAATGAAATACCTTGTGGCTATTTTAAAAACTTCTGTGGCGCAGACAGCTGGAAGGAGGAAAACAAAACAACAAAAAAACACAATTATGTTGCTTTTCTGTCTCAGAACATATAGATATTAGTGCATAAGTTTATATCAAAGAAGTAAAAGCATTTTAAATACAGCAGTTTGGAAAGAGAAAAATAAACAAATACCTAAGGTAGCTGGTATTACTATGAATTAATACAAAAGACTCATCACAAATCCAAGACCATGTTAATCATATATATTTCCACTTAGTATTTTTTCAGTCACAAATGCAGTTGCACACTGCCTCAGTCACACATGAGTTTAAAATTCATGCAGTCACAACCGCATGCAATTTCTCCATGGAAGACAGAAATGAGACAGTAAGAATAAATTAGACTCACTTAAAATGTACTATTTGCCCCTGCAAGGTCTTCAATTCCAACTATTGCCTCATGAAAATCTAAAATCTATATACCGGAGGTGACATGAGTTAGAAAGCATATTGTGGTTCTTTCAGCATACCTGCAATTACTGCATTCGTAGAAGCTACCGCTGGAATAATTCGTTTAACAACTCCTGTAGAAAAAAAAACATATAACTTTATCTTTTCCAGGACCTACGCTACGAGATGACTTTATCACGTCGGGGTCACCATTTGTAGGAGAAAGGGAGACTGCTGACACCAGCTGGTCATCAACAAGACTCGTTTATTAATCATTTTAGACTGCTTCTTATACACTCCTTCATTAGCCTCATGCATATTACAGAACCTGAGCTCATGATTGGTTGCTAACGGTATTTGATTGTTTATTAGAAAGATAACTTCATTCTGGCCAGCCCAGATTACGATCGATAAGCAAGCAGCTTCTTCATTCTTCCAGTATCAAACCGGTTCCTGCTTGCCTTTGTTTTGTGCAGCTGCATCAACTTCTTTATCTCAAGGACACTCTGTCCTTTGTCTTACTTAGGCCCTCCGTATCAGCTCTGTCTGGCTATGTCCTTTCTCCATTAACCAGGTTTGAACAATGCTCTCTACACTTCAGCCAGAATAATTACAGAAGGCTGCACTCTAAGCTACTTTAAACACTCTCCTAGAACTTTGCTAATTACAAAGTAAAATGCCATGCTTCCAAGAACTTTGAAAGACATAAAGCAAGTTGAGGTATCATGCAAGGTATCACGCAAAGAGAACCAGCAAATCCAATACAAAAACAAGTTTTCTGTATTTCACCTAAGTTACTTTAAAACTTAATTCTATTCCCAGCTAACTGGAGAAATGTATAAAGAGGCTTGCTTTTGGTATTCCTTGTCCAAAAAGAGGCTTGCTAAACTGAATTGGCACCTTCATCCTGTTGTTTTTACTGAACCCTTCCAGGCAAACAGGACAGTACCTATGTGGATGAAACACAAGTTCCTATGTTTAAAGTTAGTGACATCAGCAACGAGGAGGATTCACTCCTTTCTCAGGCCTGCCAAAAAGACAGTGACTTCCTAGGAAGTCTTAAGTTCCTTTGGCTTCTCAGTATTACTGCATTCCTTCAGACCCAATAAAGCTATGCACACCAGTATAAAAACTTTTAACATCTTCAGCTTCCTTCTGCTGAACACTTTATTATGAAGCCATCTATAAATACTGAAAACTGTGCACTTTTGTATGAACTCTTTGAGAGAGCAAAAGCAGTCACAGTATAAAGCAAACTGTGGAGCTGCTCCAGGTTAAAACTAACAAGAACAACATTCAGTTTTGTCCTACACAAGCTCCCCAACCTGATTCATTAAGAATGCCTAAACATCTGACACATTGTGAAACACCTCGTGGGGGCAGAGGAAAAAAAGCTACTTGTTTTTCTTTTAAGTTGTCTAGGGAAAAGGCACTACTACTTTCTCAGCAGAGCTGCCAGTTCAGTCATAGTAAGTACAAAGAATGTCAATTCAGTCTGCAAATTGCTACAAACAGTGAAATGCTCATCCACTTACCTTGGGTGAGTCTATATGTAACACCTTTAATATTAAATTGCGATGCTCTTTCTAAAGACTTCTGGTAAATCCACTGTATATGTTCGGGGTCATCCCCATCCAAAGGCACATCTTCTATGGGAAAGTTAATTTACAAGTAGGTAACAGTTGCAGTAGTTCCTCAGAAGCACAATGCCTTTTTTTTTATTTTGGACTATAAATAACCCATTTGTTTTAAATATGGTAAAAATGAATATCCCATTTAACTATTAAAACTTGACCCTTTTGCACTTAAAGAAAAAAACATCAATATATGATTTCTACATAAATCTTAAATTCTAAAACACTATAATCTTAAATCTATAAATCTATATTTATCTATATCTATCTATAAAACTACATGGACATCTATAGACATCTATCTATCTATAAATCTTAAATTCTAAAACATATTCTAAATAAATATATACGTTATCCTAACTCTGTAGCTTTATAGAGGGGTTATGGGTTACATTTTGGCTCAGGAAATACTGTGTAGTGAGAGAAAGATAAATATACAAATATGTGACTCTAAGGCCAGCCTGAGGAGACAGAAGCAACTACCAACCCAGAGGCTTCAATTCAGTATATGACAATGAGCCACAAAAGTTTAATCGAAGGTAAGAGGATTGTTTGATTAAACAGGAGTGTACGCTTAAGTTGAAACAAATTGAGATGATAAATGTTAATTAACCACTAAAGCAATAGACTAATTACCTCCAAAAGGTTGTTCCTTTGGCCACTGCAATATCCTGACATACTCAATACAATGCTCTGGTAGTCTGGGCATAGATGCAATAGTACACATGGGAAAATTGACCTGGTGGGGGAAGAAAAGAAACACAAAACAAGAAAAAAAAAAAAAAGGCATTTAGTACAGTTCTAGGAAGAGAAAGAAGCAAATCAGAGTGGAATATAAAAACAAAAGGAAATATCAAAAGTTTTAATTACCTGAGGTGGATAGAGTTCAAGTGTGCATTCAACACATGCCGTCATACCAGGAATAATGACACGAGCATTTCCTTTAAAACCTTCTGTCCCTCCATCTATTAAAGGTATGATGGAACTTGGATCCAGGACACCATCTTCATAATGTAAAAATGACATCTAACAAAAAAAGATATTTTTGTTTGCTTGTTTTACTTTTTTGGTGCAAGTTATAGGAAGAAAAAATAAATCATCTTAGAAATTTTATTCTTAATGGTACCCCAAAGATCTCACGCTTAAGATACAGGGTATTTTAAGGATACATAACATTTATATAACACTACTTATTTGTCAGTGCAAGAAAACTTCAGCTACCATCTCCTCCCTCTCTCCTCCCTCCCAATTAAAAGCTGTTATTTCCTCATAGTATACTGGAGTAATTGCTTGGTTTCTTTGGAGGATTTTTTTTTTTTTGTAATGTTGGTAAACAGTCAAGATTACTACTTTTTAAAACAAATCCACAATGTTGAAATTACAATATATAGCATGCTATTCCCTTGTAGCAGCAGGATTCCAGAAAGCAATACTGACAATTTGCAGCAAGGCAGTTCTGTCTGGCTGCAAGGAAAAAGCACTTTTTAAAATGGGGGCACCCAGACAGGTTGTGGAACCTCTATTCTTAGTAATTTTAGAAACTGACCTCACAGGGACATGAACATGTGCTCTGAAATTAGCCCTGCAGGACACTGAACAAACATAAAAATAGCATGCAATTTATTCTCTTTTTCAAAAGGCAGGGAAAAAATATAGAAAGTTGTGAATTTCAACATCTCTCATTTCATTTTGATTTTACATTTTGCACAAAACTGTTTAATTTTTGTTAACTATATTCAAGAAATAACCAGGCTTTAAAAAGATTGAAGACTTTACCAGCATGCCATTTATCCATCTTCTTGCAATTATAGAGTCCAGTCCACAAACAATAATATGAAATTCTAGGAAAAAAAATGTTATTTAAAGTCTATATTAATGCATATTTCTTAAGACAACCAACATATTCTGTCCATAGATTTTTTCACAGGAACTCACTGTAGTTCAACCATCTCCCCTTGGTTATCTATAAGACAGTTGCATTTAAGCCTTCTCTATTTGTTTACTATATTTCCAGTATACTGTAGAAGACTAAAAATCTAACTAGCAGAAAAAAAACACCAAGCAACAACTGCAACACTCTAGAAGTACAAGCGGGTGCTTTGCAAACAGACACCACTTACGTCGGTAGAAGCTTTCATCCATGTCTTGAATCTTTTTAAAGTATCTGAATGCACACATAACTAAGGAATACATTTAAAACAGCTGAGTTTACTATTTGCTGACCTGAAGGCAAAAGATTGTATAATTTACCACTGTAATTTTAATATTTTTTTTCTAAAATAACGTTGTCAGAAGACTCAAAATTTCCATAGCTGAAGCTGCATGATCTAATGCAACAAGCAAACGGATATGCCGAAGAAACCTCGGCAGAAAACCACTTTGGGAGCTCAGAACGTGTTCTCACAAAGCTCTTTATCAGCAGTGCTTTATGCTTTTAATCTAATGTATCTTATCACTATGTACTCAAGACACTCTGGTGAATAAACCAGACAATTAGGATACTTTACTCAAATAAAGCGGACTCAGTGGAAACACAAGTAATGATTTCTTAAAGCTTAGGTTTCTTTCCAGATGTACATTTCCTGTAACTCCATTCTGAGGAACAGTTCTCAATAATCAACTGAATCAAACTGTTTTTTTTTTACTGTATAAAGGAAAAAAAATAAAACTGCAACAAAACATTTTAGGTAGTCCTACTATCTACAGACTTTTCTGGGCTTTAGGAGGCCTTCCAAGGCTACTACTACTCTATAAAAGGATACGCTACAACAGCACAGTTAGGAATGCGGCTATTAAGGAATTCTGCTGCAACTTCTGCTTTAGGTCGTCCAACATCCTTGGGTCTGGAGAAAAAAAAAGGCAATTTCAAAACCATAATCTTAGTAACATTCGCTGTCTGGAGAATCTATGTCTTACAAATACTGAATTAAGTAACTAGTAGTCTCAGCAGGGCAATTTACTGATATGAATGATACTAAGATATTCTCTCAAAACATCAGATATGACAAGCCCAGAGTTACGCAACTGAAAGGAAAGGGTATCAGAGAAACTAAAAACTCAATCTGTGTGTATTACGACATTCTCTCTTTGTTATTAACTCTATTTGAACAGTAAGAAATGTATGTAAATTTTCTCCAGGATCAAACCATGAAACCACAGATCTCAAAACAGAAACAAATAACATGTAACATTCAGTTAAATGTGATTACTATTCTGATATGAAAGTTTAGAAATCTTTATGACATTTTGTTCAACCACATAACAACTGTATGCATACATTTTGTTTAGTTTTGTGTAAAAATGAAAAGTCACATCACAAATATGATCCACTTACCGAAACAGAAATTGTCGATTAAGATTAGAAACATCTATAGTATCCATATCAATGACATGGATCTGTCTAAAACCGGACAATGCCTGTGGAAAGAGATGCTGTCTCACTTAACAGCAAATAAAATGTTCACAGTACTTCTAAATTCATTGTAAATGCTGAAGAGCATTTTCTTTGGGAGAAGATCACAAAAAGAAAAATTTGCTCTTTACTCCATCTGCAAGTAGACATGCTTTTATTAGTTTCTTAAATTGTTGGGAGCACTAATGCTGATATTTGGATAGGTGGAATTAGTAACATTTCAACAGTTAAAGAAAGCACCCTACTGAATGCAATATTGCTTTAGCCTACAATATCATAGCACAGGGAGGGCAACATTGGGCTTATTTCAAATACAGACTGTTTTCTCTTAAAACTAGAGTAAATCGAAAGTTTTATCAGAAATTTTAAGCCCGGAAGAAATCCCATGGGCATTCCTGTTTCCAGAGGGCAGGAACAGGCAAACCAGTTTAATTTTCCCAAAGTTTTGTATTTGCTGAGCATCCACAGCTTTCAGAGTTGAGATAAATGGCAGTGGCATTTCCACCCTTAAATCACAGTTCAAAATGTGACAGTATTCCTTACTGTATTCATTGCTGAGACAGAATGTAAACAAAGAAAGTCACCTCACTGTCTAAGAACACGCAGAATCTCCGGTAGAAGTTCTACCTGATGTCTGTCCACAGACAGTTCATCATTAGACCGGGCAAACAACAACATTAAAGCAAAATTATGGGTCTGAACTGATGAAGTCACAACATCTTTCACGTACAAAGGAATAAACTCAATTTTGGTTACACAGAATTGAATACTGTAATAAAAAACAGATGGAAATGTTTTGTGGCATCCTGCAGTGCTTTTTATCTGCACTCAAGGGGAGTATTCAGCCTTTGGAGATAATTTCAATTTAATGGATCTTGAGGAATCAGAAAACCTGAAATCCACTGCTCAGGAAAGCAAAACAGACTTTGATGACTATTAATCCTTTTTGGTTTTTTTTTGTTGTTGTTTTGTTTTTTTTTTTTTGTAGTGGTAATCGCTATCTTTCTCACTTGAAATTATGACTTTTCATATGAAAGCATCATTGTCTTCCAAACAGCACTTATCCCCGTAGTTATGTGCAGAATTTATTCTTAAATTTACTCCTTTCCTTAGAATTTTACAGCTAAAGAAAATTCCCTAACCGGACTATATTTGAGGTTGCAAGTGAATTTTTGTCTATACTTCACAGTCTCATGCTGTTCTTCATGATGAGCTTTGAGATGGCTAAAAGATAATGCACAACATAGCCAACTATCATCTTGCAAGCTTATTAGCATAGTGCATTCTCCAATATATACGCAGTTTGTCTGTATAGTCACATATTTTATAAATTTTGATTACACACTAGAAACAAAACAGTGATATAGAGTCAAAGTAGTCAAACCAGTGAAGTAGAAAGGATGTTTTTCTCAGAAAAAAATATAAGAAATATAAGAAACAAAAGATGAAAACCAAGTAATTACCAGATTTTTCAGAAGTTCGCATCCTAAACCTCCTGCTCCAATAACCAGTACTTTACATGTGTTTAACAAAAACTCTAGAGCCTGCAGAAAACAACAAAACAGGAAAATTAATACTCTGAATAATAAAAGTATGATTTGTCCTTTGCTTCATAAAACTTACAGGAACATATTTACAAGGCTTAACTGTCTAATAATCTTCGCATTAAATAAATAAAATTGCTTGTACTTGCAAGAGTAATTAGATGCTGGCCTTCAATCAGTTGCTTAGTTATGCAGTTCCCATAACCCAACTTAAGAAAAGGAAGATCTTTGTTGATATTTTATTTATATAAATTTTTACCATGAAAACACCAAGGTCTCCCTTTATCATTATAATTCGGTTTAAAAAGAGGCTGTTTCTCTCTCCAAAAATTTAGTTGATGTATAATACAAATAAAAGTGTAAACAGACAAAAAAAAAACATTGCCGATCAGAAAAAACTTAAAATTCTTAATCAGATAACTTCCTTCTGCAAACCGTTCTACTTGATCTCAACCTTGAATTCGTAAATATCAGAACAGGGCATTAAAAAGTTAACAGAAAGTTAAGAGTAAAGTATCTTCAACTGTAAACTCTGCAACAACAACAACAACAACAACAACAAAAGAGCAAAGCAGAAGAAATGATTATAAACACTAAATTTTGCTTTATGCTACTAAACACCCTTGCAAATTCTGTAGGCATTCGTATTAGGCATACTATAAACTTAATTCCTTCTCTACATATAAGAAATACCTTATTGCGTCCAGTTTCTCCAAAATTGAGAGAAATGTTGCTATTTTTAACATGGACACACAAGACAGCATAACACGTGTGCAGTGCAGATATATGATGAGAGAGAGCTTGTAGATGACAGCACACAATTAAGAGATACAAGCTTATACACCGAGTACAATATGTTCTTCCAGAATATAAATGTTCAATTGACTAAAACATATGCTTTTCATGCAGTTTTAGTAATCATACATTGCTGATGGTCAATTAATGAAACTGTTTAAATTAGCTTGCAACACACGCTATAATTTTTTTTATTTAAAATAAGTGTTTCTCACTTGAGTGCCTGGCTCGAAATCAGGATGTGTGAATGGTCCAGATCGCTCGAGGAACTTCTTTACATGGTTCCAGCGACCTTCCCAGTCTCCAGTGTCCCCACACCCACCATCAACAGCCATTCTGCACAGAACATAGTAAATTCAGCTGCAAAATCGTAGAGAAAAAGCCACACCTCTAAAACTTACTTTTATCTTCATATATAATGTTAAAAATACTTTGACTATTCCTGCAAAAGCATCTGCATATTCTTTATGCATGTTTATGTGCATGAACATATGCATGAGTGGGATTTCTTTGTGCAGCTAGAAAGCAGTAGTATAAACACACGGAGAAAACAAAAACTGGCACTTCAATAGGTTCCTCTGATTTAGTTGTGACTGGCAAAAGTTGACCTGAAGTGGAAAAAAAGGGTCTATTCCCTTTACTTTAATTTCCCTCATATTTAAAAAGGGCACAGAAAAGAGGTTGTTCCTTTAGAGGCTGCTGGTTTGTTTCCTTCAGCGTCAAGGCTTGTATTCCTTTTCTGACAGACTTTAGAGAGTTCACAGTTCTTATTTACGTAACTGCAATTGTGAAGCACTGAATAAACAATATGTCCCAATGCTGAATATTCTCAATCTCCAAAGCACATCTAAAGGAGGGTTAACAAAAAGAAAAAAAAAAACTTGAATGCGCTTTACCCTCAGTAAAGAGCATTTACCCTTAGTACCATTTAGTTTAGAAACTCAAGTTTACAGTCATCTCCCGAGTCTGTCAGTGCTCGTAATCTGAATTACATTTGTAATTATCTTCTTCTATATTGTAAATACATGCTTTTTCATCAGATATTCCACTTCCTTTTTTTCCTCCTTTGCAGGTCACTTTTAATAGTTTGTAACTATATACTGTCAAGAAACTTACTGAAATAGTTCAAAACTAGCTAACTCACTCATAAATTTTTCTAAAGTCAAGATCATCAATAGCAATTCCTCTTTAAGACTTCCCTTTTCAAACAGGAGTTGCACTCAGTAGAAATGATAAAGTTTTCTGTTAATAAAAAACCTAAGCTCATTATAAAAGACCTTTGGAATCCTGAGTATGAAAGACTGATAAGATCACTGATAAGAAGTTTTATATACTTCCTCCTATGAGAAATAATAAGAATGCTTAATGTCAATAATTCTTGTTGAGTTCAAATTTATTGTTACTTCCCCTTGTTTCATCTCAAAATAGAAAGCAAATCTAGTTAAAACTACAAGATGGTTCTCAGGGAACTCAGACAATGAGCAGCAAAGTGTATCCTTATTGACTGTGATGTACAGGCAGTAATTTTGCAAAAGATGGTCAAAAACAGGTAATAACTTCACTGAAGATATAAACTGCATCAAAATCTGCCTGTATTTTGATTGCAGACTGAATGCATTCCTGGCTAGCTGTTGACTTTATATAAGTTAACAGTTCAACAAAATCTAAAAAGTTTCTTTGAATTCATACAGGCTCTCTTGACCTCTGGCTTCAACTTTTGTATCTCTTCCAGTTTTTACAATTTCTATCAAAAATAATTATTTTACAAAGGTGTATAACCTCCCTCCTCTGAACCTTGAAGTCGGATGCTATATACAGTTTCAGTATGTGTAAGCATCAAAAAATGGCTTATGCAAACAAAATGGATCAAAATACTTAAAAGTAATTGCTTCTATGGATTGTATTAGCCTTTGTAAATTGTTCTGGAAACAAGCTCAGAAGCTATTTTTGGTGATGCTCTGAACCATCTTTTTCTGCTTTTATACAGACTATAAACAGCCATTGATCAGTAGCACCCTTTCTCCGTTCAGATCAGTATTTTTCTTTTCATATGTAAGTCAGTAAGATTTAGTTTACTTTTGTAATTATTCCATAGATTAGATTTTATAAGGTTGGACAATTTGGAGATCTGAAAAAACATCAATACTTCAACCTGAGACTTCATGTTTCGCTTTAGAGATGGCTTTTAAAGTGTTTCATTTGGAATATTGACACAGTTTTACCTGGCACTTGTATTATATGGCTTTAACAGAAACCTTATTTTCTTAAATTATTTTGATTTTAAAATGAAAACTTTCTGAACGCTGGCTTAGCAGAGTCCTTACACAGGTTCAGACCCTCGAAGCTTTTCCTGGCCCTTCACATCTCCAAAGCTCCATGCTTTTGAGGGACTCGGCATGCACCCCTCACCCCAACATGCCCAAGGGGGTTTTGTGACCCTCAGCCCAATCCTGCTTGGTGATTTGGGGGAAGAGGGCCACAGGTAGGGTAGGGAAGCGTTACGGGAGCACAACAGGTTAAAGAATTTAGCGTGTTGTCAGTGCTATTATTTTTCTAAGGGTGTTAGGACAGACGCGCAGAATCTAGGGGCACAACAAGCGCAAGCAGCGGCCCCGCAGCCCGGATTTTGGAACCTCCAGCTCCTGCCAGCCAAGCTGCAAGCCCCGAGCTCCCTCCCCGCTCCGCTCGGGCCGAGACCCTCGTCCCTCTCCCCGGCAGCTCCCTCGTCCCCGGGCCTCGTCCCTCGGTTTGCAGCGGGGGCCGGTCCAGGCCCGGCGCCGCCTCCCTCCGTCCCGCCCCGCACGTCGCTGCGGGGGCTGCGGCCTCGCCGTGACCTACGGGCCGCCCCGCGCGCCCGCAGCTAACCCATCCGCCAGCAGCTCCTCTAGCCTCCTTCTTTTCTTCTCCCTAAAAGAGAGAGAATAAAAGAAGGGTCAGTCCCGCGCCACAGACGCCGGGGAGGAGGGAGAGGGGCCCCAGGGCCCGCCCGGGGAGTGGGGCGAGGGCCGCGGCCGAGCGCGCACATACAGGGCACTTACGGTTCCTCACCATCCGCCATAGCTCCCTCTGCTTCCCACAATGCACCTCTGTGGGCGGTGGTTGGCTGGGGCGGCACCATAGAGGTGGCGGGAGGGGGGGCGCAGAGCGGCGCTCGCGGGGGTAATCTCCATGGCAACTGGAGGGATAATCTCCATGGCAACCCAAGGGCTGCAGCTGCTGCTTCCCCCCGTTCCCCCACCCCGGGGCCGCCATCACGTTCAGGCCCGGGTCCCTCGAGGGCCAGAGCCACAACGGCCGCTGCAGGGACCCCTGGGTGCAGGGATCCCATGAACACACACACACCGAGGCCCCTCTGCGCTTCCCTGTGAGCCCACAGAGCCATTGATGTTGCCCAAGCCTCTCGCGAGGGCAAGGGACAAGCCCCGTGTGCAATGGGCTCCAAGCGCCTCTCACTCTCCCACAGCCGGGAGGCCGCTACCCAGAGGCCGAGTGTTCAAGTGCTTTCCGATAAGGAAGTGTCGCAGGTTCTTAATGATTGCGGGTTCAGGGTGCTCAGGCTCCCCAAACCCCATCTTGAGCGCTGAGGCAGAGGCAGCCACTGTGTGACTTGCCACCACCAGCCTCCATTTTGTGCCAGGACTCTGCATACTGCCACACAACCGGGCACAGGCACCTGGTGCCAGCATCGGTGCCCAGACCAGCCACAAAACAGGGGCAGAATTTAGCGCAGCAACTGGAAATAGCAGGGCACAGCCTTCAACAACCCCTCCCCTGCATCCAGCACAGCATTTCCTCTCCATCCGCCGCTTTAATCCCG